AAAAATTGTGGAAGCAGAGTTTGATTGTGGATTTTTATTTTCCAAAATAAAGCAAAAATGAAATACAATATTGAAAAAAACCAAACCCAAAACTTAACCTTCTCAAAAAAATCAATACAGAACTCACACTTTGGAAAGTGTCATAAAATTAATACAATAGTACTTAATGTTTTACTTATACTTTTATTTGTATGATTCATTTGTATTAATTAATATTTTAAAAAAATTAATAATAAGCATAACTGGCATACCTGTTGAAAAGTAAAAAATTGTGAATGCAGAATAATTCATTTTTTTCTATGTCAAGATAAACACTTCAGCAATTCCAAATAAATTAATGTTTCTAAAACAATTTAAAAGCAAACAAGCCAAGCAAAAACAACAACAAAAAACAATGCAACTTTGAAATGTGTTTAAGTAAATCATATAACAAACAGCTGTGATTGATGAATTATGCATGATGCACTCTGTTACTTAGAGGTGTCCTTTAAAATAAATTGATGTTCACCTGAAATACAATTATGGTTAGATGGAAAGGGCAATCAATCTTATCTGTTCTTAGTAAGCTTTCAATCTGAAATTTAAATAAACTCCATCTGGGATCATGGCATATATTAATATGGTCAGTCTATTTTCACCCAATAAACTGAGAGTTAAAACATAAAGCAAAAGTTAAATAAGCATATTAAATGTACTATATAAAAATGCATTTAGTGTAGCAATGACAGACACGATCTCCAGGAACCATATGCCACTCAGATTTTGAGGAATGTTTGTTTGATTGATTTAGTTTTGAAACAGAGTTGAATCTGAAATAATTAAAACATTATTTCTTTAACATTCTGCAATACGTCTATATCTTGACATAGTTTCTAGGGAGGTTAATGTAGAACGTAAAAGAGTCACTAGATAGGCTATTCAGAAGTGTACATATTTGATTTAACCCAATACTTAGTTTAAGATGGTAAAGTGTACCTGTAATTAAAAATTACTAAAGAATATAGAAAGCTAAGGATTACCTGACTGTATTTCAAAGAAATGAATATAGACAATTATAAGGCAGAAGCTAAAACTTTCACTTAGCTACAAATGTTCTATGATAGAGCAATCAATTATATTAGTTAATATAGACAAATAGAGGCTAAAACAGTTTTTATGGTATCACTGAATAATGACATTTTGAATTATTTAAGGGAAAATAAGATGCAATTATGAATAATAAATGTGCACATGCCTTATGGCATGCTCAAAGAAAATATGACATCATGTTGGAAGATCTCCTTCTCTGTGTATTGTCTCATTGCACTTTTTCAACCATTGGTCTCTAAGGACAATAGAAATATAGATTAAGGTAGATTTTCTTTGTGACTTCTTTATATTTCCTGTTTAACATGAGCTAATTGCCTCAAATTCCTTTTAGTGCTATTCACAGAGATATTTTTTTTATCACTTAGGACTCATGTTCCTTATTCCAACAATTCCTTTCTTTCTGCCTACTAATAAGGGTACACATACTATTCAAGCTTGTATGGTCTTTCTTTTTTCTTTTTAATATATAGGTTAAAGTTTTCTTAGTTTTACAAAATAATAGGCAGCCTTATAAAACTAATAAATGGATGGATAGATAGAAAAAAAATAGAGTGAGTCAGTCAGTCAGTTTGGTCTAATGGTTAGGGCACCAGGCTAAAAAGCAAGAAACCATGAGTTCACGTCCCTCCTTCGCCATGAAAGCCAGCTGGATAACTTTTGGGCCACTCACTCTCTGTTAGTCCAACTCACCTCACATGGCTGTTGTGGGGAAAATAGGAGAAGGAAGTTGTATTGAGTATATTGGCCACCTTGAGTTATTTGTAAAAACGGTAAAGGTGGGATACTAATAAATAACATAGAATAGATAGATAGATAGATAGATATAGATATAGATATAGATATAGATATAGATATAGATATAGATATAGATATAGATA